TGCCAGAAAACCTGTAATGGCATAACTTGGGGGTTTCACAAAAGATTGATGAATTTAATATGATCTTTAATACCACCTATGCAACAGGTAGCTTCATGTAACTTTTAAATACCTGGAGAAACATGAGTACACTTCTGTAAGATCGATTTGTTCAGTATTTAAAATCAGATTTATAAAAGAAATGTAGGTAATGAGATTTGATCAGTGTGACAGAATGATATTAACAGAGTATTAATCTCTCTCCTGTGTTTCCAACAAATCATAGATGCATGACTGCAGAGCAGCAGTTGCCATTTCAAATTGTGGTTTTAATTGCTTTCATGAACTGTATGTCAGAGCAGATCTTGCACAGTTACATGCTGCTATCAATAAAACTTCAGACTCTGCAGAGAGGCAGGTGTTTGTTTAGTGCATAACTTCCAACATAGATCTGATGTCCTGACGTATAGTTAAAGATTAGATGATGGTAATTGGCAGGATTGTCTTTAAAAAGAGATATAGAAGTATGTTAAACATGAGGTTTAACATGAGGTCATTGTATGGTCGTTTTTATAGTTAAAGATTAGATGATGGTAATTGGCAAGATTTTCTTTAAAAAGAGATATAGAAGTATCTTGACATGAGGTTTAACGTGAGGTCATTATATGGTCGGGTTTTTTTAATGAAATTTATGATTGATAAAAATGTGGTTTTGAATTAGACATCACAAATTTTGAAGAATATACATAGGATTTCACTGCTGTAATTGCTGCTGAAAAGCTGCATACAGCAGTCAGGTAAAACAAGAATTATTTGATATTTGCATTCTGAGAAAATATTGGAGCCACTTAAAAATCTTACTACCCTGCCAGTAACTGCAGCATCCTGAAGAAGTGTTCAGGCAAGGGAAAATAACATTCTAACATTTTCCTGTTATATACTTATACAAGGTTTTCAGAATTATTATTAGAAAGTGTGTGGAGGAATGTGCAGTAGGAAGAACACACAGCAATTCATATGCTGCTTCAGATTTATGAAGTAGTTGCAATACAAAGACTTTCAGTCCTACTTTTAAACCTCTGGGAAAAAATACCAGGGAACAATAACAGTATGGAAGGAAAATAAACATTGACAAATATTTACCCATTTCACAGAAAAACAGAAGCTTATATAATTGAAAAACTATAGGACATATAGTGTATCGTGTATCCCAAGAGTGAATTTACATATTGCTGTGAATCCCATTCTGAATTATCTTTTTAATGTCAGAAGAATGTCTGTTTACAAAAGGAGAGCAGAGAGTAGATAATAAGAGGCTGCAGTGAAGGTCTAGGGTCAGATTTTCTTTTTTTTCATATACAAGATTTTGAAGTAGATTGTTAACAAAAACTTTTTTTTTTTTCCCCTTGGTTTTCTTATTTTCTGTTACTTCATCCTATTTTGCTTATCTTTTCTCTTTCTTTCCAAAGTCTCTTCAAACCTATTTTTCCCCATCTTTCGTTCAATGATGCTTTCCTTCACCTCTTGCACCGGCTCCAAGCGGTTGGTCCCTTTGCGTCTGATTCCACTCATGTTAGGGGTGATCATACGTGCTGCTACAACGTATGGAGAAAATAAAAGTTAAAGGCCATTGCTGTGGTCCATTATTAGGATGATTTAACCTACAGGCAATGGGTACAGTTAAACTGAACCTTCTTTTTCCTCCCATAAATGTTGGTTCAGGTAGGAGCGTGTGGCAACTGTTTATTTTGGGATCATGGCAACGTCTTCCAACACTGTGACACACTTTGCTTCCTATATTCCTGTATCCTATAATCAGATGTGATAGCATCAACCTTTCAAGAAATAAGCTGAACTTGCCCCTTCTTAAAAGGGCTGCTGAAAAGGTCATACTTTCTGTGTAATCTAGCATGGCCAACAAGCTGTGGTCTTCTGATTAAATGTTTGTTATGAGCTGAATATCTGTGAGTAAAGAAAACAAAGAGGGGTGGGCTTGATAGTATGTGATGGTCTGGATTGTTGTTTTACCCTTGTTTTCACTGACCAGTTTCCTCTAGTTGTAAATCCTGTTTTATTTGCTTCACCGTAGTCTGATGAGGATTATGGCAGTAATAACTATGAAGGATCTAGAGATCAGTAATAGGAATTGATAAAATACGAATTGGAGGTGCAGTCTGTGGTCCTCAAGAGAAGCATCTCGGTCACCTATGTGCATCTAGAGTGTTTCCTCAGAATGGGTAGGTTTGGCTTCCTCATAAAATGTGTGCTTTTAATTTGATCTTCAGTTTTCTCCAGTTGATAAGGCACGTCCCACCCAGGGACTCAAGTATATTTACTAGTATAACAGCTAATAGCCTGGAAGGAAAAGTACTTGATTTGTGAAAGAGATACAGCCATCAGAGTGTATAATGGAGTTTCAGCTCTGAGTGTTTGGATGCAACACAATTTTGCGATACGTGGATTTCTGCTTTGCACAGTTTTGGTACATTCTGGCTCATTAGTAACTCAGACAGAGATTAATGCTTGTCTGGAAGGAAAATATGTTCCTTAAAAGGATCTGAATTCTTCTCAAATGTATTTACACAACAATTTGCAGTTAATTCAGTCGAGAGCTTGGCATATCTCAGTAAATGCACAGTCTAGATCAGTATGATTGGGACTGATATTCTGCTACATATATCTTGATTCATTTTACTGGAGTGATGCTTAGGGTATAAACAAGAAGCAGGAGGCACCCATCTGTGTGAAATTACTTGTTTAATTTCTGATGCAAGGTTAACACTATAGAGATTTGTTGGCTATTTTTTTTTCAGTGGGACATCAGAAATAATTGAAGCCACATCCCTCTTAGCTATATTTATAAAAACCTAAGTGTGACTGGAGCTGTGCGAACACAGTGGGCTTCTGTTAATATAATCCATCTGGATATACTGCTAACCACTGATCAAAAGACTCCTCCTGTTGGCATAGTCTATATTTCCATTTGGATGCTCTTCTGACATACCTGTGTTAGTGTAATGCCCATATGAGAAGCTTATGGGTTTTGAATGTAATATTTTTCAAAATGTATGACTTCACTGTGCAAAAAGTGGAGACCATGAAGCACAGCATTACATTTCTGAATGGAGTACACACTTATTTATGATTCTGTGCTTGTTTAATTTTAATAGGAAAAGGAATTTTTTTTCTGTACACTAGAACATGCAGTTCACCCACATTTTGAATGAATGTGTTATCTTCTCTAACTTTTACATCCTCAAGAAGCTTAGAGTAAAAATTTCCCTG